GTGGAGCCCATATGGGAATCATGGATACTCTGGAGTAACTCCATAGCACCAAAGGATCCGCAGCTCATTGGCTAGGAACCAATACTGGAGAGTATTAAAAAAAAAAATCTACCATAACAGAGAGATATGTTAACCCGGTCATGTCACTCTACTGGTACAGACAGCAGTCCACCTATGTCTACAAAAATGTGAGAAGAATAATGTCCATTAAGACTGGAAAGACAGGTTGAGGCAAGGTTGGAAAGAGCTTTAAAAGCTAAACAGAGGAGTTTATATTTTTCCTATAAGCAACAGGAAAGTAATGGAGTTGGATGAATATGTGAGTCAAAGACTCCGAGATGCATTTAAAGAAAATTACTTTGGCAGCAGTGTGTAGGATGGAGTGGGGACAGGTTAGAGGCAGGGAGGCTAAATAGCAGGCTATTCCAATAATCTAGGAGAGGGGCTGAACAGAGGTGGTACCTCTGCAGAGAAAAGGTCAGACGCCAGAGATGCTGTGAAGACAGACACAGCAAGCTGTGGCAACTGATGAGCTATGCAGGCTGAGGGTAAGTGAGGAGTCCAGGATAATGCAGGGATTATAAACCTAAAATGATTCTTCTAGTGGTGGTGCCTTTTATAGAAATAGGGAAATTTGCAAGAGGGGAGGATTTAGGAGGAAAGGTGAGTTTAGTTTGGGACCTACTACATTTAAGATGTCTTCATGGTAACAAGTTTGAAATGTCCACTAGGCAACTGGTGATCAGGGACTGAAGCTGAGAAAAGAGACTGGAGCCAGACACTCACAGAACGAATGAGATTACTGAAAGAGTATATAAGGAGAAGAGGGGCCCAAGATACAACCTGTGGCAGCAACTTAATTAGCCTGGCACCAGCCAGGGCTGTCCCAACGCTTCAGCTGGGCTGGCTCACCTGCCCCAGAGGGCCAGATGGTTGTAGTTGGTGGGTATGAAAAAGAGACAATTTACAATGTGCAGTGGTACTTGGGTATGTTAAAAAACCTTCTCATGTATGGTTATTTATTATCATGAAACCTGACCTGGATATGGCCTGAAGAAGGCAAGGGCCAAAACACCAGCAGGTTGGAATGGTCAGTGTCTGATGACAAATTATGTCCATTTTTTTCAGTCAATATTTTATTTAATTTAAATATCAGGTTGGAGCTATCACACAGAGAGTTGACTTTAAAAGACTCCTACTTCACTAACACGTAGTTACTCTCTGTCCAGAAGGCAATGAGGTAGTGCCAAGGCCTCTATCAGAAGTGAGCCTGGCAAATGTTCCTGCAGGGTGACAGGGCACCCTACCTGAGAGTTAAGGAGAGCCAAGTTCAAATCCTGCTTCAGGTACTTGCTAGCTGTGTGACCCTAGGGCAAATTATTTCACCTGTTTACCTCAGTTTCCTCATCTGTAAAATGGAGATAAAAGCATCTACCTCACAAGGTTGTTGTGAACATCAAATGACATACTTGTAAAACACTCCGCAAACCTCAAAGCACTCTATGAATGCTCTTTACTGTTGTTATTATTATATATGCTTAATCCTCACCATTTCAGGTACCCTTGTTCTCATCTTGTAGATAACAGTCATGAGAAAGAGGCATGAGCCTTCCAAATAATCGAGAAGTTTTCTATTTATTAATCCCAAACAAGCCTTTCCATCATCTGTTTTGCCTTCAATACTCACATCAGAGGCACCAAGTAACAAGGTACATTCACTTGGTTTAGAGGATCTTTTCACATTCCTAACAAAAATTTTTCTCTTCTTCTTCATTCTCTAGAACAGATATTGGTACATAAGCTGCAAAGTGTTCCTCGAGGCCACGGTCATCGTGAACAACGTAGGTGAGGGGAAGCAAGCCATGAAGGATGATGTACTCCCTTTGGATGCAAGGTGAAACCCATTTCTTTATTTACTTCTCAAAGAAGAACCTGCCAGTTTTCTTCTACTTGATTATATAACTTTTCTCTGTCTCACTATTTAAAGTGATGCTTATAAATGATTTAAAAATGGGTTGCTTCTTAGCTATCTTAGTCTTCTTTTCAAACAGATGGCTATTTTAAAATTTGTATGCATATCCTGATGAGTTACAGTCCAAGAATTTATCAGCTGGAAACTAAACCTCTCAATAGGTAGCTAAGGTGGTCCTTGAGCAGCAGGCATGATCAAAATAACTATACGGGCAAAGTTTCAGCTCCACAAGAAATGGTTATATGGCATTAGGATTTATAAAGTTTCTTGGCTTCTCAAAAAACCACTAGAAGTGGTGGCTATGTAATCTGAAGAAAAGCAATCAACAAGTAGTTACTGAACACCTACTGTGTCAGACACTGTGCTAGAAAAAGGGAGCAAATTAATTGTCCTTATTCTCTATCTCCTACAAGAAAAGAACCAAAAGAAATGGGAACAAACTTAAGGAAAAGATTTTGGACAAAAATCTCAATGGGAAGGACAGTTAAAATACCAAGCCAGGTTACTAAGGTAGTCAAAACTTCAAACAACTCATTTGGATTTTTAAAATACTGTTTAATGTAGAGGCAAGAACTGGACTAGAGGATATAATTTTTTTCCAATATTTTCCAAACTAGGATTCTTCTGAATAAATACAGAATCCGTTTATTTTCTTTTCTCATATAATGACAGTTCAATATCACTTCCCATAAGACCTGGGGATTTAAGGGTGTAAGAACTTCCCCTCTCTGATAGCTGCACCACATTTTCCTCATCAAGTGTTTCTTCTAGTCTTATCTGAGAGGCAACGCCAACAGGCTGGCCACATTATTCAAATGCCCAACATACATTTGCCTAAAAGATTATTTTATGGAGAACTCACACGAAGCAAGCACTCACACACAGGTCGGAAGAAGGGATACAAGGACACTCTCAAGGTTTCTCTGAAGAACTACGGAATTGACGTAAAACACGGAAGACACTGGCACAGAACTGGCCAGGACAGAGCGCCCACTTCAAAGAGGGTTCTGTACTCTAGGAGCAAAACAATTGCAGTAGCTCAAAAGAAACCCAAGATGCACAAATTCAGACACATCTCCACTTCAAATGTTCACATGGACTATCTGTGACCGACCTGTGGCAGCGCCCACGACTCCTATGGGTCTGATCAGCCACAGTCAGATGCACCGTGCCTTAATCCCAACACATGACATCATTTTGGTCCTCTTCCAGCAACAAGGACAACAACCAATTAGAAAGCCTCTCCTGAACGGCGTTTCTATACAAGCCACTCTGCACACAAACAGCCACTTACAGCCCTGCTAGTGGTGCATGAGACATTTAAAACAATGGAATGACCCTCTAAAACCTGTCACTCTCCTATATATTACCTTCCTAATTACACAGCACCCATCTGCATCATAAAACAAGCCATTACTACTGTCTAAGCACCTTTTAAAAACATCAATAGCCCAGTGTGACACAAATGGGGAACCTTTTAATTCCATCAGGATCATTTTAGAAAGAGAAATAATGGGATTTCCATGGGATACAACAAAGCTCTTAAGCACAATAGGGACATGAATTCAATGCTGAAAATGTCTGCTTTATTTATAACAAGTTAATGCAAGGGCATGTGACATACAAACCCAAAGTAACATAACTTTAAAATCACTCATGTGCCTACACACACACACACACACACACACACACACACACACCTGTACACCACAATGACTCTGTGATCTCATCAAAGCACTCCCTCAGAGAAAAACTGTGGACAGCCCTTTAAAGAGAATTCAAAGATATTTAAATAGTTATGTTTAAGGATAATTTATTTTAAGGGCATCATGCTCACTTGAACATATACATCTTGACATGTTTGCAATTTTGAAAGTCTCATTACATTAGTCAGATTTTATGTGAAAAGGCATATGACAGATACATAAATGTATGTATGTATGTATGTGTGTATTCCTATGTATATGGACCTCAAGTAAAGTGGACTCAACTAGCATTTATTAAGTGCTTACTATATGCCAGGCACAGTGCCTCTATGTGTATATGCCTACAAAGAAAATGTTCAAAGTGGATTTTCTCCTCTAATTATGCCAGTTGCTTGGGGGTAGGCATTAAAATAAATCTACACTTGCTGCAAACACACCGATGATGGCAAGTGGCAAGAGAAGTCAGTTTGTTGTTTTAATCTTGCCACGCACTGTCTAAAAAAGTAGACAACTCACACAGGGATAATAAATAGATAACTGTATAGAAACAATGAGACAAAGAGCTACTATCTCTACCCAATACAAGCAACTGGGTACTCTGGATCTTGACAAAATGATTTTCAAAAGGGGGAAAAAAACAGAAATAGGAAAGCTTTCTTTTTTTTTTGGGGGGGGGGGTAAGGTGGAAGTAGAAATACAGAACCCATGCCTCCCTAACTTCTCACCCAGGTTGGAAGTTCAGTGGCCACTCAAAGGCCCAACTTCCTGTCGAATGGCACAGGGGCCCTGACGTGCTCCACTTCTGGCTGGGTCCAATTTGTAGCCTGGTAACCCTGGTATTAAATTTAGAGCAGATACCAGATCAACTTTAGCATAATGCAGCTCAGAACTCCTCAGCTCAAGAGACTCAACAGCCTCAGTCCGCCCAGAAGAAAACATTCATGCTAACCTACTGCCAAGAAAGTCAACTGTTGTCATCAACATTTAAGCTGTTGGCACCTTCATCTAAAGATTTTAACATACACAGTAGCTGCATGCCTTTGATTTTCAGATAAATATATTGGACTTCATTCCAACTGAAAAAAAAATCAGACTAAAATAAAAGCTTGAAAGAGGTTTTTCTCTTGTCAATAAAGTATAATTTTAAAAAAGTACAATAAACTTCCCAATGATTAGAAACTAAATTTCTGCATTATTTGCACAACATAAACATAGCTAAGACAAATGTGAATATACATTTACACTATACATTTTAAAGCATTTTAAATGATAAATTAAGCAATATACTTATAAAAGTTCTATATCAACAAATGACAACTTACCACTATTTTAGCCAAAATACCATCTTCTCCTGAATCCAATGTGACCACAGCCTTGTCCGTTTCTATTTCACATAAGGCATCTCCAGCACTCACTGCTTCACCTAGAAACAAGATGGGGTTTGTTTGAAGGGGTTTTTTTGAGGTCTTAAGATGTATCTTTTTGAGTACGCAAATGGGTATATCCTTAGAACAAGAGCAACCATTGCTTCCATTTTTCTTCAAGCCATTAGAATTAATTCATGAACAGAAATATTCCAAAATTCATAGCAAGTACTGGTGGAAAGATATGAAAGAGAAATCTAGAAATATATTAGGTAAAAGTAACAATGTCATAGAGGCATTTTATAGGAAGGATATTCTTTTTTTTTTTAATAATTAATTTATTTTTAGCTTTCAACATTCACTTCCATACGATTTTAAGTTTTAAATTTTCTCCCCCCTCCTCAAGATGGCATGCAATATGATAGAGGCTCTACATATACATTCATATTAAGCGTATTTTCACATTAGTTGTGATGTGTACAAGAATTAGAACTAATGGGAGGAACCATAAGAAAGAAGAAATAAAACAAAACAAAAGGAAAGCAAGTAGTATGCTTCCATCTGCATTCAGACTCCGTAGTTCTTTCTCTGGATGTAGATAGCATTTTCCATTATGGATCTTTTGGAAATGTCTTAGATCCTTGCATTGCTTAGGAGCGCTAAGTCTATCAAAGTCAGTCATTGCTGTATGGCTGTTACTGTGTACAATGTTCTCCTGCTTCTGCTCATTTCATTCAACATCACTTCACGTAAGTCTTTCCAGGTTTTTCTGAATTCCGCTTGCTCATCATTTTTTATAGCACAATAGTATTCCATTATATTCATATACCACAACTTGTTCAGCCATTCTCCAATTGATGGGCATCCCCTCAATTTCCAATTCTTTGCCACCACAGAAAGTGCTGCTATAAATATTTTTGTACCTGTGGGTCCTTTTTCCATTTTAATGATCTCTTTGGGATACAGCCTTAGAAGTGGTATTGCTGGGACAAAGGGTACACACAATTTTATAGCCCTTTGGGTACAGTTCCAAATTGCTCTCCAGAATGGCTGGATCAGTTTACAACTCTACCAATAATGTGTTAAGTGTTCCAATTTTCCCACATCTTCTCCAACATTTATCATTTGCCTGTTTTGTCATGTTGGCCAATCTGATAGGTATGATGTGGTACCTCAGAGTCATTCTGATTTGCATTTCTCCAATCAATAGTGATTTCAAGCATTTTTTCATATGACTATAGATAGCTTTAATTTCTTAAGAAGGACAATCTTATAAGACACTTACTGACTTAATCAATAACCATTTACAAAACATATACTAGATGCCAGGGACTGTGGCTACAAAGACAAAAAATAAAACGGCACCTGCCCTGAAGAAGCCAACATTCTATCAAGGGGAAAGATACACAAGTGTGTAAGTATATACTGGTACCTAGGAAGGGGCAAGAAAAAGTCAGGTAGAACAAGGTTTCTTAACCTGAAATTCACAAACTTTTTCTTTAAAATATTTTGATAACTATATTTCAATATAATTGGTTTCCTTTGTAATCACAATTAATACAATAAAATATATTTATGCATTTTAAAACATTTTTCAGAGAATGGGTTTCTAGGCTTCTCCAGGCTGCTCAAGGGGTCCATTAAGTTGAAAGTAGCATTTACTCTTCCCTTTGAAGGAAAAGAGCAATTCCAAAAGGCAAAGGAGTGGATTTCTATCACCGGAAACATCCTGTGAAAGGGTACCAAGGCAGAAGATGGAATGCTATGTGTAGGGAACAGCAAGAAGGCCAACTTGGCTGGAGGGGGCAATGCATAACAAGCTTAAAAATGGAGGCTGAAGTCATATCTCCAAGGGTTTTAAACACGAAACTTGGAAAGCTGGAGGGGAGGCTCTAAGACCAAGGTTTAGAGGATGGCGTGGAGAGGAGAGAGACTGGCGATAAGCAGAGCAGTTAGGAGGCCATTCTAAGTCAAGACGAGATGTGAGGAAGGCCTCAAGTAGGCCTCAACAAGCCTTAGTAATTGGATGGGGAGCTGAAGGGAGGGAAATGAGATGTCAAGGGTGACTCCAAAACTGCGGTACTTGGTGATGGGGATGAGGGCGAGGCCCTCAACAGAAAGAATGTAAGCTCAGAAGAGAGGTGAATTTTGGCACAAATACACTGAGTTCAGTTTTACTCTAGTGAGTTCGAGATTCTCTGAGACATGCAATTAAAAATATCCAGCAGACAGCTGGAGAGTAATTTGTACATGTGTGTACACTTACACAGTGTGTGTATATAAAAGGTAACTTTATTATCTACAAAGGATCTTTAGAATCAAGAAAACATGTGTTTTCAGCTCAAACTGTTTTCAAAACTACAAAACATCTGAGGGAACTACAGTCTCAGAGCACATAATGTCATATATTATGGTTGATTTATTTTAGTAACAGAAGCAAATTTCAAATAGGAAGGATTTTATCCCTTTGTAAATATTTCTGTGTGAGAATCTCATCCAGAGATGTGGGGAGGAAACTTTTGATATGAAAACCCATATAATAATGAGGAAGGTCAGCAAAAGAGATGAAACGTGAGAACATGTGAAAACAGGGCCTTTCTTCTCCAACGCTTCTCAACCTGACACTTTAATATCTTGTGATGCTGGGCACATACATCACTTTCCATCTGTGACTCTCAATTTCTTCGTCCACAAAATGAAGGTGCTGGACCAGAAGACCATTAAGTTATATTCCAAATCTCAAATTCATGATCCTATTCACAAATTTTAAAACTTCAATGATATCATTATTTTTTTAAAATGAGAAGTAATGCTCCATGAGAGAAAAAAGGCTTTGGGATTCAAGGACAGTGAACTCGTTTGCTAAATTTCCATTCACCTTTCATTTTATCAAAATAAAGGTCTAAGTGTTTGTAGCAAGCACACTGATGCAGAACAGCAGTTACAGTCATCAGAATAACACTGATGACCCTTGCTGGCTTTATCAAAAACTTCTATGAAGAAGTTTCCACTCTGACCTTTATGGGGTTTTTTCCCCTCTAAAACAACAGCCTCTTTTTTGCTATTTGTTTGTTGGATAAATTCTAAAATCAAGAGCAGCTTACATTTAAGACTTAGATCTTTGAGAAATTATCAAATCAATTAATCCTTAAGTTTCTTTAAAACTGTGTTGCTTACTGCATGTATTTGTTCTGTGTATATGTCTGGACACAGTTTTTCTTCATTTTACTAATTACCATTTCAACATCCTCATATGGATCACCCAGGACCGAGCTGTGAAAAGAGTCCGACTGCGGTCATTGTACTATCATAAGCGAAAAAGATGTAACACCACAGAAACACAGAAAAATCTGTCCCATTTCCTGTGTGCTCCTTCACCTATAAAAAAAGCCTTTCAGCTTTTATGGTCTGGCTTAGTGGGGGTCTCTTGCCTAGATTTCTGAAAAAGTATTATTATAAATGACCAATGAAACATGCTAAGAAAATACACTAACATAAGAAATCACAATTTCTTAGGGTTAATTCAAAAAGCCATATCTCAATAATTCAATGCAAAGCATAACCACTTTCTCAAATAAAGAAGAAAAAATAGGTACACAAATCCTATATTTTTTTGGTACAGGATCTGTAACTTTAGCGGTATAGAAAACTGCAAGTTAGGACACTCCCACTACATCCAGCAGATTCTCAATGACCCTAGACTTTATCATCTAAGGCAGTTTCTGGGGGTCCTGGGAAGTTGATTAACTTGCCTGGGATCATGGCCAGTATGTAGGAAAGGCAAAACTTGAACTCAGAATCCAGCTCTCCATTCACTAGGCATTGCTGCCTCTTGGGTCACTTTTTAAAGAGCTTAAGCTCTTCCAATACAGATTAAAAGTAATTTACGCTCTAATGAACACTACACTGTCACCAAAAGGGGAACTTCCTTTACAGAAACAGATGGCAAACAGCCCGAGCCTTCTCCCCGAGTCTGACTGTTGCACATTTCCCTCTAGCCTCCTGAGAGGATCTCCCCAACAAAGATGAGACGCCTTGTCTAGTTACTCTAACATTTCACAGACACAAGTACACACTTGGGCTCGTGATCTGCTACTTTATTACATGATTGGCCCACTTCCTCTTCTAGTCAAACTGTCCACAGTGCAGCATACCAACCCACAAGTCCACCATGCACCTCTTCACCACTCTCTGGGTCAGAGGTTCTTAGCCAGGGAGTCCATGAGCTTGTTCTCCCCCCCTAACGTGCTGATAACTCCAGGTAAACATAATCTCTTTTATTTTATGCACTTTAAATACAATTTTGAGCATGGGTCTGTCCACAGACTTCACCAAACTGACCATGAGGTCCAGAACACAAATAAGGTTAAAAACTTCTGCTTTGGGTCATCTACAACCTTGATTCTTTGGAGATCATAGCCATCCACAATTATTACAGCCATATCTGTAATGATCACTGTGAGAATATTATCATCACTAAAATGATAACCTCTTAAAAATACAAAACCCAAAAGTATGAGGTATATCGCAAAGAAGAAAAACCAAAGCCAAGAGGAAGTTATCAAACTGCTACAAACATTTATTCCTCCTGAATCTGTCAATGGGGTGTCTCAATTAATCACTGTCCACATTATTCTGTCAATACCAAGGATTTCTCAATGGGAGGTCAGGACATGTCATGTGATACATCCTCAAATGCTCCATCTTGGAGAAATGTCTGTCATTAGAAATGAGGAAAAATAAAATAAAAATCATTCAACAGAAAGAAACATTTCGATGTCATTTCTTCCTGTAAAACTAAAAGCACTTCATGTAAGCACTTCAGCAGCAAAGTCCATCATATAAGACCACGGGACAGATGTGACCACTTTTCATTACTGTAAAAAATCACCCTGAAGAAACACTTCTGCTGATCTGAAATCTCAAAGATGAATATGTGATTTCACTCTCAGGACAATTCAAAACTGTGATGCCATCTTCGTTTGCTAGGTCTTCTTCAGTCATGTCCAACTCCCATTTGGGGTTCTGTTGACAAAAGGCACAATCTACAACCTACAAA